TGAGGTGATGAGTGTGTCAGATTGGGAGGAGTTTGACAACTCTAGTGAGGACTAGGGCTCCAGTTCCCAGCATCAGAGGGTGGGGTGGCAGGGACTGTAAGGGTAGTAAGACTCACAGGGCCTGAGCCAGGGCCTGGCTCCAGGGTGGAGGACCATCCTCCTGGCACCTGTGGCTCACTGGCTTCTGATGCCCTTCTTCACTCCAGCCCCTTGACAGACTTATACAACATTTGGGGGGCTGGTGCAGACTCTGTGGCTATGGTTTATGTTATCATGGGAAATGCTCCCAAAAAGCTGTGGTCCTCTGAGGGAGTGACCAGGCCCAGTTCTCCTCAGTGAGTACTGGCATCACCAGCTGTCTTGGCCTTCCCCCACTTTCCCTGGATCTGGTCCCTGTTGGGCTAAGAAGATCCCTTATCCAAAAGGACCTGAGGACTAACAACCCAGGTGAGAGGGGCTGAGGCACAAAGTGCCCTTTCCATGAACAGGGTGGGGCTTGATGAGCAGTCCTGAGTGCTGCCTAGTAGCAACCAGGGCCTTGAGCAGTTGAGAACTCCCAGGGGACAGAGAAGGAGCAGATACAAAGTTGCCTGGGACTGGTTCTAGCCATGAAAAGATCCCCTACTGCTGTTTTTCTGATCCCATGTTGTTGATAAATGAAATAAAGCATTATACTAAAGGTGTTAACTATTTTCCTGTGTCCAGACTCAGTGTGTCCCAGTGGCATCCCAGGGAGGCATAGATTTGCAAGGTCAGAGCTACCTTGCAGGATGGGCTGTGGCATGGAAGAGATGAGGCCCCATCCAACACCTGGAGATCATGGTCCTCCCTCAGAGAGGCATAGTAAACTCTCCAAGCTGACAGGGTGGTCATCAGGGAACCGGGAACCTGCCCTGCTCTTGTGGCAGATGACTGTTTCACCTGCTTGAACAACCTCTCTAGTGAAGTCTACCATCCAAGGCCTGTTGAACTTTAGTCCAGCTCCAACTAGAAATCTCTTAGGATAGGGGGTGCAGTTCAGTGGTATAGCACTTGCCTAGCATGTGCAAGGTCCTGGGAGTTTGATCCCTAGCACTGCAAAAATAAACAAACAGTGGGGGGCAGGCAGATAAAGTCCTGGCCTCAGCACTTGGGGAGGGAAGTGGCATCAAGGGAAGAACCATGAGACACTGTCCTGATTGGAGGCACCTATGCCTAGCTCCTCCCCACTTCTTGACTGCATTTCTCAGGCATTCTCTAGATGACCCTCAGATATCTTGTTTCAACGACCATGCTGGTACAACAGATGAGACCTACCCTGGGCTATTTTCACTAGTGCCTCTCCTCCCATCTAGGAGTTATCAAACACATCCTGTGCCCCCAACAGATCAGCTGGGGATCTGGCACAAACCTTGCCACTCTGCCCAGCTTCCAGGATACCCAAAGCTTTCTTCCACTTGAACACGTTTCCCTCCACACTTTCAAGTTCATACTGCAGGCCTCCCTGAAGGAAATTGCTGTGCAAATGGGTTGGGCAGGCAACTGGGCAGAGCATGGGAATGACCAGGTCATCTCACTAGTACCCTGTCATGGAAGAGAAAAGAATGGAGAAACAATACATTTTACTTGATGGGAGGATTGCGGCAGCGGTACAGATGATGGGTTGCTCTGTATTCTCCTTTTGGGATCCCCTGAGGACTGTGGGCCCTTGGAGTTGACATTTACTCTCAGGGCTGCCTGTGTGACCTTCATCTTGGGACCTGGATACCTCTGAGGACAGGACATTACCCTAGACACCTCAATGTGGCATACCCAGTGTTGACCTCAAGTGGGTCACTTCCAATAGGGCAGGATGGCCATTTCTGGTGTCATCTCCCCTGCTCCTGAGGGTGAGATGCAAGAACATGGGCTCATTGTAGGAACTTACTCTGTCCATCTCGGACCCTGCTTCCTACATCTCTGCCACCATTTAGCATGCCAGGGCAGCAGTTCCTGCAGGACCCCAGAGGTTTCTGAAAAGGAAGAGTGCCAGAAATGCTTAGCCACTCTCTGCAACATGTCTCCAGCCTGCTAGCACTGTCCTCACCCGAGCTAATCATGGCCACAAGCTTGCAGTAGGTATCTGATCTGCAGAAGGACAAGAAGAGCCTGCTGAGTTCTGGGTAGTATAAAGAGGGTGGAGTGTACTCTGGCAGGACTGGGTGGTAGCCCAGTCTACAGTTGTCAGTCCTCAAAGGTCCACTTGGCATACATGGGCACCACATTCTCCTGCCTGTGAATCTAAGCAGTCCTGCCTGTGGGCTTGGGCAGTCTAGCTGGGCCCTCCTGTGGCCATACTCTTTAGAACTTGCTCATGAGAAACCCTCCCTCAAGGTCCACCTCCTTCAGGAAGTCACCCTGGCCAGAGCTAGATGGCCAGAACTGGGCTTCTTGGTTGGCCCGTATCTGTGGGATCCTGTGAACCTATGTCGTCTTTATCCTGGGGTTCACCTGGCACCAGACCTGGCAATAAGATGATCATATTTCAACTATATTTCTTTGTCTCCTGCTGAGGGGATGGGTGCCATGGTGGCTAGGACAGATGAAGGACCTGCTTGCAACACCAAAGTCACTACCCACTGCATGGTATCTGCAATGGAGGAAGCTAGGGAGGTGAGACAAGGCTAGGCATAGTCCTTGTCCTGAGGGCAGTGGGGAACAGTCATCCCAAAGCTGTCATCCGCAAACCAATGTAAGATCACACTCATCTGTCTGGGTGGCACATATACAGGGCTGGTAGAGATTTGAGACATTTAGGAGGTCCTGATAATGGGTGTGGGGTGGAGGCATTTTCCCTTTACAGATGTGGGGAAGAGGAAAGAAGTTGATGGAGTTGGAGAAACCTATTCATGAATTTGGCCCAGCTGAGGTGAGTATCCTCTCCATCCCAGGAGGTCACTGCTTATAAAGCCAGAAGTTAGCTGGGGACAAACACTGAAGGGCAGGGAACTCTACTATCCTCTATTGGCAGCAGCAATAGGGAACCTCTAAGGGACAGGCATTCAGCATTGGGAGGGCATTGCTGAGGTCAGGGCAGTGCCTAGGCTGATCCGCCCAGAAGTGGTTGGCATGTTTGCTTGTCCCCAGAAGTGTTTGCATTTGTGACCACATTAATTGCACTTCCCCTTGAACCCACCCTACTTCTCTCCTGCACCAGCAAAGCTGAGGGCTGAGAGGCCCCACTTCCCATATTCCCCACTCTCCTCCTCATCCTAACCTCCACCACCTGCCTGCCAGCCTGTTGATGCCTCTGGCCTTGGGCCTGTCAGTGACTGTTTCTGAGTCCAGTCCTCCAGCTCCACCCACCACACTGCCTGTGTTCCCTCCTTCCCCAGGGAGCTTCTGGCCTGCTGCTGTGCCTGCCACCAAGAGAAAGCAGGTGCCCTCTCATTGCTCAGGCCCTCCCACTTTAAGTCCTCAAAAGATAAACACTTTCTTGATAGAACCTAGTTGACCATCAGGAATAACTGTGCTTCCTGCCCACACTCCCTGCTCCTTGGGCCTGGAGTAAGGTCTGTCCCTGTACTCCTCAGACCCAGTTTTCCTGCTTTTTCCATAGMTTCCTGTGGCTCCATTCTGCTCCCCTCCTGCACTGTCCCTTTGCTGTGTGCTCTCAAAACATTGAAAGGTTTGGTTTCTTTGCTGCCCAATGAGGCCAATGATAGGATAACACAGTGGTGGGAGAGAAATGAGCTTTATTGGCAGCAAATCAGCAAGTTGGAGGATTGAGGGCTCTCACCCTAAAGTCCCATGTTGCTTTGGAGTCTCAGGTCCTAAGCTTATATAGGGATTTTTAGGAAGTATATTTTTAACCATAGTCAAGGGAGCACGAGGGGTGGTCATTAATTTTGCATCAACCAGCTCTTCCGAGGAGCATCTTGATGTTATCTTGCTATCTTAAGGTCACCAGACATTCTTGGTTCCTATAAATCTAAAGAAAGACTACTGGTTAAGGGGGTCTTATAATTGATATTTTCTTGTTCTCCTTTTCCTGATAAAGCTGACTTTAGTAGTCATTTATTTAGGGAGTCAGATACAGAGGAAGCATAGTAAAGGAGAGAAGTTAATTTAGAAGAGGAGAGAAGTGAGGGAGTCAGTGGTTTCACTGGCCTGATGTGGTTTCCAATCTCCAGGTCCGACTCCTAGACTTTTTCCTCTGAGATCTAACAGCCTTCTAAAGCAGAATCCATCTTCTAGGCTCCCCCAGTTCCTTTCCACCCCTTGATAAGGGCTGCAGGATTTCAGCTCCCATGTCCATGCTGCCTCCCTCTGCCTTTACCTCCACATTCTATTACAGCCCACGTCTGGACCATTTTACCCTCTCTCCTGTCTGTCCCAGCAAAGCTCCCTTTATCCAGGCCTCTCGTCCAGATGCAGGCTACCCACAGGCCTCGAGCATCCTGCTTAGTCCGTTTCTTGCGCTCTTGGATTGCTCGGAGTGTGAGAGAGGTGCTGACAGCACACTAGCACAAGGGCTTCCAGTTCCCCAAACCGTGATGCCGGCTTGTGGCCCAGGGCTGTCTCTGGATCCCCTTCCATTGGCCGGTACCAAGGAGCTAGAGTAGGGGATGATTTGGAGCGTTGCGCTGTACATCCCTCACCCCACTTCCCGCCCTGGGCCTGGCTGTGCAGTGAGCACGCAGGGGCAGCTGCTCCCGTGGATGTCTGACCAGGGGAGGGAAAGGCAGGGGAACGGAGGACTCCTCTGGCTGGCCCCGCGGCCCTTCCCTCCCCTAATGCTCGGCGGGCCTCCTTCAACTTAGTCCCCCAAGTTTGTGAGTGGCCAGGTGGGGGCGGGGGCCGCGCAGAGGGGCGGCGGCGCGGCCGGAGGGTGGGGTCTGGCGCACTGGGCGGGCGCTGCCGCCTGGCCGGCCCGCGGCTGGCCCGGGATCAGGGAGCCGATGTGGAATTTCCTGCCCGGCCCGGCGCCCCTCCTGCCGCCCCCCGCCCGGCCTCGCACTCCGCTTCCGGCCGCTCTCGTTGCGGCCGCACCCGCGCCCACCCGCGCCTGCCCCGCGCCGCATGGAGGGCGCAGGGTCCCGGAGGGCCTGGCCGGTGCGGCGCCGGGGATCCGGGAATCTGTTGCCTCTGCCTCCGCTGCTGCTACTGCTGCTCTGGCTGCTGCCCCGTACCGCGACGCCCCAGGAGCTGAACCCGCGCGGTCGCAACGTGTGCCGCGCGCCGGGGTAGGAGCCCGGCCTGGCTGGGGGAGGGGATCTAGGGGGCCGATGGGGGCTGGGAGCTGGGGCGCCCAGCATTGGAGGAGCCCCCCCCCCCCGCCCCGAACCTCCCTACGCCAAATGAGCGGGCCCCTTTGGCAGCTTTCGCTGAAGCCAGCTTCGTTCCAGGCCGAGTTTGCCTCCCGGGCCACGATTGGGCATCCCAGGATACCCCATACCAGGAGTCACCTGAGGGTATAACAGAGTGTTTTGGGTGCCCAGAGGAGTGACACACGGTGTCTGAGATTTAAGAAAAGTTCCGAAGAAGAGACCCTTCTCCTAAGGGAGAAGCCGAGGAATGGCATTCCAGGCAGAAGGAACTGCATGTGCAAAGGCCCCGAGCACAAGTGGTTTGAACCTGGGGTGGGGAGGAGGGTCGCAGAAAGAAAAAGTAGCTATGCTCCAGCCAGGGGTGTCTTGAGGCAGGCAAAACTTTAAAGGACAGATTTGTCTTAGAGCGGGCGCTGTGGAAGGACGGTGATGGAGGTGAGCACCGAAAAGCTGGCTTCAGAGTGGCTAGATAAGGCAGTACAAAGGACAATAACGGGCGCGGGGGACTAAAGGATGTGGGAACTCTTGGAGACAGACTCCAGGTAGCGATAGTGGTGCGCGGAGGGGCAGCGCAGAGTTGGGGCATCAACAGGAGCTGGCCCCTGTGGGACAGGTAAGGGACAGGCCCCGCCGGTGGTCCTGAAAATTTTCGCGGAAGGTGAAGTGAGGAAGACAGGACACTAGGAACGGCGCAGGAGTCCAGGTACCTGGATGGCTTGTGTAAGGCCAGGCGAGGTCAAGGGCATCTCTGCAAAGGGGCGAGGAACGGGCGTGTGGGGGCGCTTGGGCTGGCATTGGGGGCTGCCGCACTGGTGGGCAGCTGGGGAAGCAGCCATGGGGTTCCGGGTTGGGTTCTCCTGGGGACACCCTGAGCCTCAGGTCCGGTGAAGGCCGAGTCCTGGGGCTCAGGGGTCGCTACAGACAAGGGGCTGTAGGGGGCTGCGCTGGGTTTCCGAACTACAATCAGAAGGCGCGCAGACCCCTCCCAGCTGCGAGGCCCGCCTTGGGGGCGGGGACCGGCCTGGCCCGCCATCTGCTTCTCATCGACGCTGCCGCTACCGCCTCCCGGGCCTCCCCGACCCCAGGAATGCAGAGGCGGCGGCGGCAGGCGGGACGGTGCGTGGAAAGGGGGGAGGGCACGATCGCCGCCTGGCTCTGTCTAACTGCCCCAGTCCTCTTCCCTTCACGGGGCCCGGTCCAGGGATAGGGATCCGGTGGCAGGATGGTCTTGTGGAGCTGCTTCAGGAAGGCGCTTGGCTCCCACTCTCCTTGTCCCGAGACCTTCCCAGGAGGCTGACTGGTTCTGTAACTAAAAGCCTAGGTTTGAGTGTAGATCCTGGTGACAGCCATCCCCAGCTGTGCAGACAGCAAATCCGTAACCTTTCTAGGCCTGTCTCTACCTCTGTAAAATGGGGTTGATGATGGGACCCACCTCATGTTTTGTTTTGTTTTGTTTTTGGGGGGGAGTTGCTGTGATCATGTGTGTGGAGGATTCATAGGAAGGCAGTCACTCTAAACACTGCCCTCCTGGGGTCTGGGGCCATCTCTTTTGTTACACTCCAAAGAGGACCAGGAGAGGGAGTATGTGTTCAGCCAATAAGATCTCACCGATCTGGTGATGGTCCAGGGACACAGCGGACACCAGTATTCTTGTGCCACTTCTGTGCCCATAGTGGAGACATAGTTAGAAAGCAAGTGGGTCTAGACATCTAGCAGGTGCTGGGGAGGAGGGGTTGAATTAGGGGTAGTTTCCTTTAGACGGATCTGTGGAGACCTACTGAGAAGGTAGTAGTGAGGCAGCTATCTGGGGTAAGACCCAGAACCCAGAGGTTAAGTTGGAAACACAGTAAGGAGACTTTGGGTTGTGCAGAGCCCCGGATGGTGATGGTGAAGGAGATACCGAGAATGGAACTGGGCAGGCCACAAGGGGTTTGCTACTGTTCTGAGGACTTGGACTTCCCTGAGGGTAGTGGGAATCCAGGGAACTTTGCACAGGGAAGGGTTGGAATCTGATGAAGGTTTGGCTGCCAGGTGGCAGATATACTGGGAGGTAGCAAGGCCAAAGTTGGGGTCATCTAGGAAGTCAGGAGACACTACAGAAATCAAGATGGCTTTCTAGAGGCTGGGACAGGGCAATGGAAATTGGTCCCAATTTAGATGTAGTTTGGAAGAGAAAGCAGGCCTAATTTTCCACTAGAGAGGAGTCAGGGATGCCTATCAGGTCTCAAGTCTCTCCACCTGGAAGGACAGGGTGACCCGAGGACATCAGGAGTTCAGTTTTGGATAAGAGTTCTCCCTGTGGTGATATTTTCCAGTGAGCAGTTGGATTTACAAGTCTGGCATTAAGAGGGAGGAGGCCAAGACATTGTTAGTAACCTGAAGGAGCTAGTGTGACAGAACAGAGGAGAGGAAAGACCTGAGGATAGGGACAGAAAACAGAGGAGAGGTGTCTTGAGGGAAGGAGATCCTAGGTAGTGCCATGGCAGGTAGAAAATCTTCTCTGGCTGGATTTGGGGAAGAACAGGGTCAGGCACAGGTACATGCATGGGCTTTAAGATGGGCAAAATCACAGTGAGTTGGTACCATAGCAGAAATAATGATGTCTAATTGGGGCAGCCTGCAGCTTGTCATGCTTGCTGCTGGGGCCTGGCTCCCCAAGGTCTTGCCCACCTGTAGAGCAATCATAGGAACTGCTCCTTGTACCAACTGTCTCTCTCCACCTCATCTTTCTAAAATCTTAAGCATGTGGCCTTGCCACACCAGCCTGCCCCTCTCTGCTAGCCCTTCCAAGAAGGAAGGACTTTTGTTCTCCATGAATCCAAATGGACTTTGTTCTGCCAGTGGGTATTGGCTTTGCTGCAATGTGTCCTGGGTGCCTACTGTGCTGGAGATGACCAACTAGACTCAGAGGCTTTCTGGAACCTACTCCCAGAGAGCAGGGTCATAAACCACAGCCTAAGGCAAAGCTCTTAGTATTTGCTAAGTATTGCACACATCTTGGCCCACTTAATCCTCCTGCCAAACCCAAGGGCTTCATACTATAGCTAAGAAGCCTGCTGCTCAGAGATGTGAAGCTCCTTGCCTGAAGTCACACAGCAAGTGGCAGACCCAGCATCAATTCCTGTTGAGTGTGGCTCTAAAACCAGGCTCCTAGCCACAGAGCCACCAGAATGCCAGACTGTCCTAGATAGAGGTGTGGTCAGTGTTTCTGGAGACATCCCAGCAGGCTTTCTAATAAGGCTACTTGCAGGAGAGAATCTCCATCTAGAGACCAGGGTTTAGAACTAAGCAGAAATTGGAGGAGGTTGGCTGGTGTACTTGGGTCTCCCTGTAGATGGGTTCCTTGGAGCCCTTGGGTCAGAACTGGATGATGGAGGAAAATCCAAGGGCAGAAAATGGGGACAGGAAAATCCAGGCCTGTTTTGCATTCCTGTTTGTAGTTTCCATTTGTGTGTGTGTGTGTGTGTGTGTGTGTGTGTGTGTGTGTGTGTGTAAAATATGCTGGGCCTGTTCCCCTCATTCAGGATTTTATGAGTCTTGTTCCTCAGGTCCCAACCAGTCTTTCAGTGAAAGGGGACTCCCTTGGGACTTTGGAGCCCTATCCATGGTGTTGCAGTTATCTTAAACTGGGGATGGTTGGGGGCATCTTCTGCTATAGAATTGAGAAAAAAATTCTGGGTTTGCTGAGACTCTAGGAAACAGCAGCCTCAGTGGGTGTTCCTTTTAGGCCTCCTCTGACCCCCAGCTGTGGGCATCTTCTCCAGCTGTCATAAGCATCCTTTCCAGTCATCATGGCTTTACCTGGGCAGGGCCTCCACACCTTTGTCCTCACACACCCCATCCACTCCAAGGTTTAGGTACCACTCTGAAATGCTACAGTTAGAAATCACCTTCTAGGGATTGGGGGTGTAGCTCAGTTCTAGAGCACTAGCTGTGCAAGGCCCTGTGTTTGAACTCTGGTACTGTCCAAGTTTTAAAAAATCACTTTTGTAAATCCAAATAAAATTAAACGTGAGCAAAACAGTAAGTATAAGTAGATGCACTGATGTTGTCTTCCTCCATTCCATGTCTTGCCAGCATCCGAGAGCTCTGAAGTTTTACTTTTCTTATGAACATGGAGAACCCCCTTTGTGCTCTGCTCCACTCCTAGTAGAGAGGCAGGCCCCACCCTGCCTTCCTCTAGGAGTCCTGCCAAGTGGACTCCTGTGTCCACAACCCACTTCACCCAGAGACTGCGCATCCAACCTTGGTGCTTATCCCTAACTGGGCATTCAGGTGTGACCAACTGGTCCAGCTGATCTTGGTGCTGGCCCAGTCATATCACATCTGGATCCTGTCACTGATCCAGCCAGGCCCTCCATCCTGAGATGTCCTAGACCCCTGTCTTGGCAGGGGTCCTGGAAGCCCAAGGTTTGCTCTAGCCCCCACCTCATAGGGCCTTTTTTCTCAGACTTAGTGGCTGGTGAGGAGGGCATTGGAGGGTGGGATGGGAGGGACTGGGGAGTCCTTATGGGTGGGAGGGCTGGGAAGTTCTTAGAGGTTAGCTGTTTGGTGGTGTACCCTTTGCTTCCTACCAAAGGCTGGAATTTGTGTCTTATCCACTGCCATCTCCCATACTTCCAACAAATAACCACTTCCCTAGGGCAGGACCCAGGGAAGCAGGGGAGGCTGCTGGGGAATCCTTGGAGGGGTGGAGATTAGGGAAGGGATGCAGAGGAAGGAGCCTCAGGTTCAGTAGTCTTCCTTCTACTCTCAGCTCTCAGGTGCCCACATGCTGCGCTGGCTGGAGGCAGCAGGGGGATGAATGTGGGATAGGTGAGTGGGACATCCCAGTGGTCTGGGTAGGAGGGTGGGGGGACATAAGTGGAGAGAACAGTCGTGGCAGCTCAGCCCCTCTTGTCCGCAGCGGTTTGTGAAGGCAATTCCACGTGCTCAGAGAACGAGGTGTGCGTGCGACCGGGCGAGTGCCGCTGCCGCCATGGCTACTTCGGTGCCAACTGCGACACTAGTGAGCGCGGGCAGGGTTGGGTACAGAAGATGAAGCTGGAGAGCTGGGTGGGGGCAGGGATAAGCCAGGAATAGAGTTGGGGGTGGAGCCAGGTCTGATCCTAGATTGGATCAGTCTACCGGATGGGTCGCCTAAGGCAGGGATTGGGGGTGGGCACCTAGACACTCGAGCCTCCTACCCCCTCGTTCCTGCAGAGTGCCCGCGCCAGTTCTGGGGCCCAGACTGCAAGGAGCGATGTAGCTGCCACCCGCATGGGCAGTGTGAAGACGTGACCGGCCAGTGTACGTGTCACGCGCGGCGCTGGGGTGCGCGCTGCGAACATGCGTGTCAGTGCCAGCATGGCACGTGCCACCCGCGGAGCGGCGCATGCCGGTGTGAACCCGGCTGGTGGGGCTCTCAGTGCGCTAGTGCGTGCTACTGCAGTGCCACATCGCGCTGCGACCCACAGACAGGAGCCTGCCTGTGCCATGCAGGCTGGTGGGGCCGCAGCTGCAACAATCAGTGCGCCTGTAACTCGTCGCCCTGTGAGCAGCAGAGCGGCCGCTGCCAGTGCCGCGAACGCACGTTCGGCGCGCGTTGCGATCGTTATTGCCAGTGCTTCCGCGGCCGCTGCCACCCTGTGGACGGCACGTGCGCCTGCGACCCGGGCTACCGCGGCAAGTACTGTCGCGAGCCGTGCCCCGCCGGCTTCTATGGCCTGGGCTGTCGCCGTCGGTAAGCGCGGGGCCAGAGCAGGGGAAGGGAGAGGGCCACTTAATGGAGGTGGGGGTTAGGCGGGTCCTGGCCCCGCCTGGTTTCCTGACCCTTCCCTAGGTGCGGCCAATGCAAGGGCCAGCAGCCATGCACCGTCGCCGAGGGCCGCTGCCTGACGTGCGAGCCCGGCTGGAATGGAACCAAATGCGACCAGCCGTGTGCCACGGGCTTCTATGGCGAGGGCTGCGGCCATCGCTGCCCTCCCTGCCGCGACGGCCACGCCTGCAACCATGTCACCGGCAAGTGTACGCGCTGCAACGCGGGCTGGATAGGCGACCGGTGAGCAGCCAGTGCCTGCGTGGGCCCAGACACGAAGCGCTCGGTCCAAACTCCCCCCACCTCAAGGATCTCTGCAGAGTGTTCTGTAAGCTATATGTAGATTTGACTCCATTTCCACTGTTGCCTCCTGCCCTCTTTCCAAGGTGCGAGACCAAGTGCAGCAATGGCACTTATGGCGAGGATTGTGCTTTCGTGTGCGCCGATTGCGGAAGCGGTCACTGTGACTTTCAGTCGGGGCGCTGCCTTTGCAGTCCTGGTGTCCACGGGCCCCAGTGAGTGCCCTGGGCCCTGGAGAGGGTTAAAGGGTTACGTAGCCAACACGGGGCCCTCCAGCCAGACCTAACAGGGGTGGAAGACTTGAGATCCGGGCTGGTCTTTCAGCTCTAGACTGGGCTATCACCTCAGTCTTGGCCCCTCACTCCAGCTAGGGAGTGGTAACAGCTTCTTTGAGCAGAATTGTACCCAGGTGTGGAGCTTGCGATCGGACCAGGACCTGGCGACCAATTAAATCTGTGGTCAGTGGGTTCCCAAGGTGACCCTAGCCAGTGTAGGGACCTCCATTTACAGTCAAGGGTCTGTTACTGGAGGGAGCTCCTCCTCCTACCCACACACAAAAGTCAGCCCCAGGAAAAGGTCCAGTGAGCAAGAATCCTCCAGACCCCCTCAGCAGATGGTGCACACGTTCAGTTCCAAAATATTGATCACCCAATGTGTGCCTATCCACAGGTGGGGTAGGCTTCAAACTGTAGAGAATTGAGCTAGACATCCTGGCTGTGGGACTGGATTCTGATCTTGGTGGCCTGGAAGAGGGAGGGAGAGGCATCAGGGAGGGTTGCTGTGGCCTGCCCTGATCCCACGACCCCGCAGCTGTAATGTGACGTGCCCGCCTGGGCTCCACGGCGTGGACTGCGCCCAAGCCTGCAGCTGCCACGAGGACTCGTGTGACCCGGTTACCGGTGCCTGCCGCCTGGGTGAGTAGGTGATGAACGTCGGGTTAGAGAACGTGGGGAGCTGAGGGCATTCGCGTTGACCCAGTGTCCCCCATAGAGACCAACCAGCGCAAGGGTGTAATGGGCGCAGGAGCGCTGCTCGCCCTTCTCCTCGGCCTGCTGCTCTCTCTGCTAGGCTGCTGCTGCGCATGCCGCGGCAAGGAACCCTCCCGCAGGTAAGGTCAGAGTTCCCTCCCGCTCCCCCGGCGTTTCCGGCGTACTCTCTGTAGCGCTGTCCCGATCACCTGGGCCTAGACCCGAGCTCTTCCCCAGCCCAGTCCCGCCCCGGGATCGTCACCACGCCGCCACGCCCAGTCAGCCTTTCGGCTCCTGCGGAGATCTACCCTCCCCTCCAGATCCCTTCGCTCAGGCCCCTCTCCCGCAGGGAGCTCTCGCTTGGAAGGAAGAAGGCGCCTCAACGCCTATGTGGGCGCTTCAGCCGTATTAGCATGAAGCTGCCCCGGATCCCACTCCGCAGGCAGAAACTGCCCAAAGTCGTAGGTAAGAATAAAGGCGCAAGGTCGCTGGGAGAAACACTTTCTCTCAAAGGAAACTATGGGGAAATTGGTCGAAGGCATTCAGGGCTCAGTGCAAAACTTTTTTTGAGTTTTGATGTGCGTGGAGGTGAGGAGGGAGGTGCGACCAGAGGGAAGGAAAGAGGATATTGCTTTGGGTGAGGAAGGCAGGAGTAGATGTGGGGGCGTGTGTGGAAGGCTTGGGTCCTGTGAGTAATTGCATCAGGGTTATATGGATGACATCTCAGCCCATCGGGCCCCTCAGTCTGTTGGACTATTACTATGTCCCTACGTGGAACTGCGGGGGGACATATGGGCCTGTAGGCGTGGGAATGTTCTGCCCCAAGGAGAAGATCCACCTTCCTGCTTGGATCCTCAGCAATGCCCTTCACTCTTCCTGGAAAGAGAAGGCTGGTCCCTCTCCTCAATGCCCCAAGGGCTCTGGAGGTTTCCCTGCTGCTGCTCATCTGACTGTGCTGACACAACTCTCTTTTCTAAAAATTGGTGGGAGAGGATCAGATTCTTGATAGATAAAAGGAGACATATGAGAAAACCCTTTGGTCCATGCAGCAGCATAGTATCAGGGGACACAGGTGTGGAATGGATACCAGCCAGCCAGTCTCTGGGATTCCCCATTGTAGGGTCTTGTATCCCTGGAGGCCAGGCCTGGTGGGGTACAGATTGCTGAGATGGGCTGAGCCAAAAGGTGGTCTTGCCACTGGTCTCAAAAGCACTCCAAGGCTACCTGGGTCCCATGAGGTAGGGTTCAAAGCATGGCTTGGAAGTCCTGGTAGCCTGTCCAGCAAAGTGGTCTCTCTAGCTATCTCTTTCTGACCTTGCCCAACACTTCATGGCAAACTTTTTAGCTCCCTGGCTATACACACTTGCTTTGCATCTCTTACATAGTGTTCCTTCTTGTCTGTCTTTGCTGGGTTCGCTGCTACGCTGGTCCAGTGTCATTCTACCTGTTGAATCTTGTCCCACCCACAGTCTTAGGGTAGGGCTGGTTTTGATCACTCCTTTCACATTTGGCTAATGAGGCTGGGCGAAAGGAGAGCCCCTGGCAGCTCTGCCTCACTCCTTCCCCAGTGGCCCATCACGACCTGGACAACACCCTCAACTGCAGCTTCCTGGAACCTCCCTCAGGACTGGAGCAGCCCTCACCATCATGGTCTTCCAGGGCCTCCTTCTCCTCCTTTGATACCACAGATGAAGGCCCTGTGTATTGTGTACCCCATGAGGGTAAGTATGGTCTTGCCTGGGCGTCCCTCCAGCCTAGTGAAATGGGGGTGTGGGGCATGCAGTATAGGGAGCAAATGCATAGTGACACTATTTAACTGGGAGTTGGTGACAAAGCTGAAACTGAAAAGGTGGACTCTGCCATTTAGTGCTGGCTGAAGGGGTGTGGAGACAGTGGGCTCTCCTATTATAAGTTGTGGGGCAAGTTCACCTCCCAGGGTTGGGGGAGGATGGACCAGGCAGAGGAAATTTCTGGACCTGGGTTGGGAGAGGCAGAGGAGACAGAAGAGAGGATTCATAGGATATGGGCCTAGGGCTCCCAGACAGCAGGAAGGAGCCTGAATGGTTGGGATGCTGGCCTCCCTTCTGCCTTGACCATTCCCCTGGGTGACTTTGGGTGGGTGACTAACCTCTGAGCCTCAGAAGCCTTACTTCTTCAAGAAGGATAATGGAATCCCTTAGAGATATTGAGGGGTCAGATTTGATGATGGTGGCTCCCAGTGTGGGGGGTATGGTGAGGAAGGGGGGCAACAACCAACCAGAGTTGGAGTAAATCCCCCCCAAACATGCCCTTCACTCTCCAGTAGTCAGCCACACATCCTGGGGTTCTGAACTGTTTGTGGTTGGTGCTATGAATGTGCAGGACACACTTGGATGCCAGGGCAACACCACTACAGCCCGGTGTAGGCAGGGTCCCAGGAGAGGTGAAGGGAAAGATTTATGCCCTGGATATTGACCAGCTGGAGCTACTTCTGGAGGTGTGACAGGCCTGCTCTTCTCTTGTCAGAGGTTGCAGCTGACAGCCGAGACTCAGAGGCCCCCATTGCTCCTGCCGAGGCTCTGGCACCTTCTCCTGCACCCTTGAGCACTCCCGCATCAGCAGAGGAAGCAACTCCCCTCCCTGCATCTTCCGACAGCGAGCGGTCAGCTTCCAGCGTGGAAGGGCAGGGCGGGGCGCTATACGCTCGCGTGGCCCGGCGCGAGGCCCGGCCGGCCCGGGCCCGGGCCGAGGCTGGGGGCTTGTCCCTGTCGCCATCGCCCGAGCGCAGAAAGCCGCCGCCACCTGATCCCGCCACCAAGCCTAAGGTGTCCTGGATCCACCGCAAGCATGGCGCAGCTGCCGCGGCCCGAGCGCCCTCGCCGCCACCTCAGGTCCCCGAGACTGCGCCCAGCCCCAGCAAAAGAAAACGGACACCCAGCGACACGTCGGCGCGGCCTGAAGAGCCCGGCAGCCCACGGGCCCGCGACCCGACGCCAAGGCCCCCCGGGCTGGCCGAGGAGGCTTCAGCCCTAGTCACTCCCTCGCCGCCCCAGGCCCGAGCGCGGGGCCGCGGCCCCGGCTTCTTGGAGCCTACGGACACCGTTGGTCCCCCACGCAGCGCGCCCGAGGCCGCATCTATGCTGGCGGCAGAGCTGCGTGGCAAGACTCGCAGCTTGGGCCGCGTCGAGGGGGCCCTAGGCGCACAGAGTCCTCGGGAGAAGCCGGCGCCGCCGCAGAAGGCCAAGCGCTCTGTGCTGCCCGCCTCGCCGGCCCGAGGATCCCTTGTGCCGGAGGTAACTGGGCCAGAGAAGGCGGTGGCCGGAGCGCTGGCGCCCGAGACCCCTCGGAAGAAGACCCCTATCCAAAAACCGCCACGCAAGAAGAGCCGGGAGGCTGCGGGAGAGCTGAGCAGGGTGGGAGCTCCCACCCTGTAGTAGGAGCGGCCCCACAACACCCGCAGCTTCCCGGGTTTAGCCGCATAGCTTGCCACCCAGCCTTCCGCGCCCCCCGCCCAACCCTCCGTTTCTTCGGCCCAGCTTGTGCACGGAGGCCTCCCATTGGCCACGCCCCCTAGCCTCAGAGCAGGAGGCTATGCCTGATTGGTTCAAGCTCCAGCAGCCGCCCATCCATCAAAGAGCGCTTAGGCACGAAGTTCCCCATTCTATTGGTGGAGACCTGACAAGCCCATAGAAGACAATTCCTTCGTCATTGGCCGGTTATTGAGCTCTCCGACCTACCTGCGTCTCATTGGCCAAAACCAGGAGGATTCCGCCTGGAGACTTCCTCTTACTGGCCAAGAGTGCACTTAACTGGGGATACCTTCTAAATGGCTGAAGACAGAATTCTGCCTCGGCTGCTTCTCATTGGCCAGGGCCTGGAGCCTTTGGCTGAAGGTTCCCTTCCTTGTGGGTAGCTTGAGGGCACTTCCACGACCCCCTGCTAGGTATCTGGTTGACCCAAGCTTTTCGGGGAGGGCTGGTCTGCTCCTCAGGGTGTTGGGCTCCCCTGTTCACCCCCAGCTCCTGCCTCCCAACCCTGGCCCCTGAGCTGTCGAGCTGGTTTTGATGGCCTCCCACTACCCTACATGCTGTGGGAACCCCAGGGGTGATTCCAATGGCCCGAGGAGATGTATTTATAGGCCCCCGGCAGGGCTACTCCCACCCTGCCCTGGGAACCCCAGGATGGGTTCCTTCTGGCAGGGGCTTGGCCAAAGCTTTCTTAATAAAGTGCCTTTCCCCACCATCTCCTGTGCTTTACTTCCTGTCTGCGGATCTTTGACAAAGTTCTCCCTCTGGTTGACACGGTGGCCCAGACCTTTAATCCTAGCCGCTCTGGAGGCTGAGGCAGGAGGATTGCAAGTTCGAGGCTTAGTGAGGCCCTGTCTTAAAAAATAAAAAGGAAGGGATGTAGCTAAGTGGTAAAGCGCCTCTGGGTTCAATCCCCGCGAGCAAAAGAGATATTTCCCTAAAGAAATTGAATGTGACCCCTTTTAGCCTGCACTCACACTGGCAGGATCCCCTCCACCTAAGCTAAGCCTTGGAGCCAAGGTGTGCGTCTCCAGAGACAGATGGGGTATGTGTCTTGACTGGTCAGATCACAGGGCTTGCCTCTGATCCGTGCCTTTTCTACGGACCTATGCTATTAAACTTGAAGGTCAGAGATGTTTGGGGTGCTCCAGAGGCTGGGGCCAAGGGGCTAGTGGGCTGCTAATGCAGCCTCCAGCAGGGCCTCCTCTGGCACAAACGACAGTCTGCTGCTGTATAGAGCCCTGCTGTCCGCCTCAATGGGCTCCTTGTCCTCAGCCGGAAACAACTCACCCGCTTGCCCCACCCACCCTGAGAGGTGGTGGGGAGCTGGAGGGGCGGCTGTCTGGCCCAGAGCTCCTGACCTCTGCCTGCTGGCCTGGCCTTCCATCTGGAACAATTTGTCCCCCAACACCTTCACTGCTCCACGCAAGCCTTCTAGGTGGCCTTCCTGAGCCACAGACCCTGACTTTTCCATAGTTCCTACTGTGTTCCCTAAGTTTCAAAAGTTATGTCTCTCTGGATTCCTCTCATCTCCCTGCCTCTGTCTAGCAGGCCTCTTCCTGTTCTCCCCCATTTTTTGATGCCCAGCTCAGAGGCTTCTTATTCTGCCAAGGTCTTCCAACCAACTCCCTGAACCCACCCTGCAGCCCACAGGAGGCTTCATCCAACGCTGGCAGTGATCTTTCTCTGGCAGTACTCTTGCCCTTTGTCCAGATACCACATTGAAGTCAACTCTGGTCACCCATATAGGGGCTCAGCCACCTGAACAGAGATGGCCTCCTGCCACCAGCGTGTATCCAGAGCAGCTAATGGGCACACTGTTCTTGTGTCTGACCTGGTCAGGCCGCACGTGGAATGCAGGCTCCCTGTCTCTGGGCCACAATGCTTCCTTCAGTCCAGCTGGACACCAGCCCAGCTGTGGCCTGAAGCTAGCTGGCCTCTGACCCATTCAGGCACCAGGTCATGCTGGCTGCTGGGGTTGAAAACACAGGCTCAAAGTTGACCAGAGAGGACAAATGCCCAGTGGGGCCCAGCAAGGACAGGACAGTGACTGTGAGAGGGGGGCAGGGCAGTAGTTTAGGTCACACTCTTGCCTATGCTGTGCCCTCAACCAGAACCATAATGCTGAGCACCCTGCCGCTCCCTGACCTCCCAACCCCTATCTCAAGCTCTCCCTCCCCTCTAGCCTGAACTAGCATGATCTGGGGAAACGAGATCATGCTTAGAGAAGTCTAAGTCTCTAAGTCTAGACTTAGAGAAGTCTAAGTCAGTGATTAGACTTCTCTGGGGTCTCTCTCTTCTGCTTGCCCTAGGAGCCTCCAAGCATCTGAGGACCAATATACAGGAGCCCTTCTGTAGGCACCTCACAGAGCAGGGACCTCTCCCCTTCCAGTGGGCAGCCCCTGCTCCTTGCCCCCCAGGAAGTTCCCCTCAACTGTCTTCAGCCCTCACTGCAATAGGCTCCTCCCCACCCCCTTGGGGCTTGCAGGAGTGCCAGCTCCCAGGGCAGGCGCCACAAAAGAGAACCGCGGCTGCTGGAACCTCCGTTGCCATGGGGATGGGGACCACAGGACCCACATCTGGTAGCGATTGAGGAAGAAAAATTATGAGTCGTGGAAAATGCAAATATTTTTTTGTAGCACAGAGCACAAAGGAATGTGGGGACTGGAAAAGGGCATAGGCCCAGTCTGGTTTCCAGCAGGGACACGGCACATGTTACACAAAGGGTCCAGGCTGTGCACATGCACACAGCCAAACCAGCAGCTGCTTGTCCTGAAAAATGCACATTTACCACTGGACACACAGAAATATCAACTCAAGCACTCAACCTGAAAGTCACACGCATGCTACACAAGGCACCAGAACCCAGAAACAGGGACAGATACACCAGGCAACAAGTACCCCCCCACACAATTGGACCCCCCTAAAATAGAGACAAGCACTTGCCAGTGCACAACACTCCCTGACACACAGAAGTACCTAGACACACAATTCTCCACTAGACAGAAATGGACACCCACTCTCTAACAGAGATGCACAATTCACAACTCATAGAAGCATTTCAACACTGCACACACGCATCCAGAGAGACACAATGCAACATGTCCAGTCCACCTACAGTAATATAGAGAACTCTCAGCCTGCAAAACACATATACAACTCACTGAAATAGAAAAAATACACACACTGTGGTACAAAAACATCCATCAGACATAGGAACATAGAGACAGATACTGTCACACACACACACACACACACACACACACACATACACACACACACTTTCACCAGACACAAAGAAAATCAGAAGCAGATATGTATGACAGATACATTCATAATCTGATACACTGAGACACAGAGACATTCTCTGAAAAATGCACACAGACATACACACAATCCATGACACACTGAAAAAAGAGGCAAATACTCATCCTGCAAACACACATCCTCCACCAGACATAGAAATATGAGAAAGCACATCACAACACAGTCACCAAACACACTCTCTGCAACGTATGGGCACATTACCAGACAAAGCATCCACACACATACTGTACTCCACCACACTCACAGAAGAACATCTGTAAAACACGTACACACACACATACCACACCACCACCACATCTGACACAGAGACACCAAGAGGCTCCCACTTTACAACAATAAACAGCCTTCACTGGACTCACACATACACCACCATCACCACCACTACCACCACCACTACCACCGTCACCACCAATACATTGAAGCATATGCATCTTGTAACACATATAGACAACTACCTGTCCCACAGAAATACAGAGAGAGAGAGAGAGAGAGAGAGAGAGAGACAGACACACACACACACACAGTACCAAAGAGTAACACATGCAACAGGATGCACTGAAACCATGGACCCAACGAAATAAGTAGATAGATAGGAGATAGATACCCACTGTGCAGCATATCACACTGTGTCATATCTACAGAAACATCAAGACAGACAGATGGACAGACACACATACATAATATACCTAATGTATACACACACTACAAAAGACACAGATACATGGAGACAGACACATACACAGTGGAAACTTACAAACAATCCTCCAAACACTGAATCACTGAGGCAGACTGATAGTATCTATGGTTGAGAAACCTCCATTCTTTGACATTATGAGAAAGGGTGAACCCTGAGGGACCACTGTGCCCCACATCTCTTCCAAGATTCACCCTAAATAAAGTCATCTCCTTATGTGTCTTGTACATTTCCCTGCAGTTTCAGGGCCCTGATGTGATCTGGATTGGACTTACTTTCCAATCCCCCATTTACTTCATCCAGGACTTGACGACTCTGGGAGACCTCTGGGTGCCACTTTGGCCTGGAAACTCAGGGACCCTAAGTGGGTGCCACTCCTGGCCTTGTGCACTTGATTCTTGTTCATGGGTAGCACAGTGAGAATTTGTTTTGTATTCTTTTTGAGTACTTGTTTGATTTCTGGGGCTGGGTTCTTTTGGTTTCCTGTCCTAACTACTTGGTGATCTCTTTAAATGGACTGTTGGTTTATAAAGCTCTTGTCTCTGTTGTGTGAAAGATGGGAGAATGTGTGGTTTACGATTTTTTTTTTCTGTTTGCCTATTTTGAGTTTAAATCAACTAAGAGTTTGAAGCCACTAGGAAGGTGGTTTGGAGATGTGGCCAACAAAATAGATGGATCAAGTTGAGCTATCTTGAGGTTTCATTTGAATTTGTTGGATTGGCTATTTTATATACAGGCAAGGAACATGCAACAATTAGTTTGTTGTAAAATATAATCTCTTCCTTCAAAAAGGTTTACATGCAAATGATTGGTGAAGTCTCCTGAGGAGGCAGTGGTGTGCCAAGGCTGGGATTAGGAGAGTAGAGATCTGGGGAGCAGAGAGAAAGATTGGTGGGGAAAGGGCAAGAGAAAGAGAGAAATCCAAAACAAGTAAATGAATACACAGAGATTAATCCAACATGGAGCATGAGGAGGAGATGGATAAGTGGGGAGAGCAGAGTATGGGGAAATCTTTGACAAAGATATGTGGGATATAGAATCATGTGTGATTCCACCTGGGATGAGCCTAGTGCTGCATGGATGATGGACAAGGATCATCTTTGAAAGAGGTCATCCTCAGGATGAGTCCAGATGCGCAGATCACTCATGTGGTTGTTTGCCAAGAAGTTAGTCAAGAATCCTGGGTTCTATCTCCAGTGTCTCAAATAAACCAACAAAACACAACATGATCAGGTTGAGGTCCTTGATCTCCCTGGGTTTGTAATGATATTGGATTGAACAACAAACCTTGAGATATCCAGTGGTCAGGAAGTCACAGAAACCTTTAACTGTAGTTGGATAGTGATCATGAGGGTTCAGAGGATAATGGAAGAAACCGCTGTTTTGGTATTGCATTAGGGAGGCAATGATCTTAAAGGGCCCTGTTTCATACATCCCCACAGGAAATAGACCAGCATTTTTAAAAATTAATGGTCTGATGTATATTTTGAGAACTGAGGTATGTGCATAGACATTCATTCTAGAGACTCAACAAAAGACATTCCATTTAAACTACAGCCCCCTGTGTGATAGGACTCCCTTGTGATTTTAGAAGGGTCAGTAGGACCTCATTGAACACTGAGCAGTCTGCTGATAAGGTAGAAATGGACTCATGGTGCCATCTAGAGGTTGTATGTGGCAACATCT